AGATCCCACCCGATCCATATTCTGTTTAGAATCGAAGGATTTTTGCCGCCTGGTTTTTCGAGATTTCGGGCAGGCGGGCAACCGCTGTCGTCGTGTCGTTTCTCGCTTTGGGATCTCGAAAGAAAGTCTCTCGTTCGCGAGAATGAATGAGTTGAATTTCACGAAAATGTGAAATTTCATGAAAATTAAAATTTAACAAAGTTTGCATTTTCTCTCTCGAGACCATCCGACAGACCGGTCGCGGCAGATCCGGCCGATTTCCGGGCAGAAATCGGCCGGACTCGACGAGTGAGAAATGGATTTCTACCTCGCGATCCGGTCCAAGTTGCTCCCGCGGATCGAAAGAAAACCCGCAGGTTTTTTTTTTTCGATTCTGGCTATTGGAGAAGAGAACCGGCAGAGATTCTTTCAAGTGGCGAATGGGACTTTCCTGTTTCCTGCAGCAGGTGAGAAAGCGAGGAAGCGAGTCTTTGCTCGGAGAATAACCGGGAGAATGCAACAGGTTGCCAGCGACCTGCCAGTTGCCAGTCCCCTTTTTTTTGGCAGATGCCGAACCGACCATAGAGAGAGAGCATTAAAAAAAAAAGAATCCGCGGCTGGAAGCGCGTCAGTGCGGTCTCCATCCTTTTATTCTTCTCCTGAAAAACAAAAAGAAAAATGAATCGTGCAGAAAAATGAAGGCAGAGAGAGAGAGAGAGAGAGAGAGGAATCCACGCTCGCGTCTCTTTAAGAGGAGTTCGACCGTCGCCGAAGGAGCAAGGACCGTCTCCTCTCTCTTCTCCTCTTCGTGCGCCCGCGAAAATTTTCGCGGATGAGTGGACCGGAGGCGGGGAATGAAATTGTTTGTCGGTAGGTTTTGCAGCAAACTGCTTGGAGGTCTGTTTGGAGCCTCTTGAAAAATCTCAACTCGATCTGATGCCTTTTCCCGCTTTCCATTCGGTCTCTTGCGGACGGTTGCGCGGGTTGCGCGGGTTGCTCCTTCCGGCGGGAATGTCGGCTGACTGGACCGTCTCGCGTCTTCGCTTCTGGGACCGAGGCCGAGGAGGGACTTCGTTCTCTCGAGGGTCCATCGCGGTCCCGGTCGCCCTTCGTTATGCGTTGTATGACACTTCGTTATGCGTTACTTGCTATGTGCCACGGTCGGGTTCCTGTTGCTCAGATGAAAAAAAAAAAACCTACCAACTCTAGCTGCCGAGCACGACGCCGTTGCGAGTGGATGCATGGACTCGGGTGGACTCTGGTGGACTCGGTTGGACTCAGTTGGACTCGGGGCGACTTTGCGTCGTGCCGAGAATGGCGGCGATTCTAGGATGACACGAAACATGGAATTGCACGGTCCTCGAGAGATGATGGATCCGGGGTAAAGAGCAACATGTACAGGCCTAAAAATATTTTCATCGATCGTGATCTCAGGACCGAAACAAGCCTCATTAAGTTCTCATGTCGTATCATGAGTCCTCCTCTACTGTATGCAGTGGAGGACGATCCAAAGCCGAGAGCGTCGATTACAGTCTCGAGGACTTCCTTCATTCGATCATTATCTCGTAATTTGGCTGCAGTCAGGTGGCGATGCTCCCTTCCACCATAAATCACAGAATCGGCGAAGTTTCATGACTTTGCTTTTTTTTTCCCCCTCGTCAATATTCCTCGAATTTCCCTCTCCTTTTTTTTAACGAGCTGTAATGGCCATCGGGTTTTGCAACGGATTGTTCTCTACGATTTTCCCGAGAATGCTAAAGAAAGATGAATTGATATTTCGAAGGGTGTCCCACCGTGAACGATCACCGAACGTCCGAGGGGATTTTCCTCGGACTCGACTCGGATCGGAAATTCCCCCCAAAGAAGCGCGGATTTACTTCTCGCCGAAGATTAATCCGAAAAGAGGGCAGGTAATCGACTGTCAACAACCAGTAGAAGCATTCTTCATCCTCCAGAAGAGTCTCCATTCTCCAGTCCTGTTCCTCCTTTCCCCCTTCATCCCTGCCCTCCTCCCCCTCCACCACAGCCCTCCACTCCCTCCACAGCCCTCCACTCCCCCTCCTCCCCCTCCCTCGCTAAATAGCGAGGCCCTCCCTCGATTGGCTCATCATTTCCATTTTCTGAAGTCAGTTAATCTTTCATTCGGGAAAATTTTTCGCGAGAAAGAAACAAGGTGTGACGAAGGAAAATTTCCTCGAAGAAATGAAAGTTTTTTGCGGTTTGTGTGGTTATTTTTTTTCCTTCAGTCGAAAGAGATCAGTGTGTTCCGCCTTTATTTTCCTCACGTTAAATAAGGTTGCCCAGGAAAAAATAAATAAAAGCAATATATAAAATTAGTTATAAAGTACAGAATAAAATAAAAATAAAATAATCATATCTAAGGAAAATGAAGTAAATAAATAAATCAGCAAAGCTATGCACGTCTTTCAGCTTTACTCTTTCCTTCACTAATCTTCGAAAATCATGTCTTTTTTTTTTAAATCAGGAATTCCCTCTCACATGTTTTCGTGCCTGCTGAAATTGAGACCTTGAATGAGAGAAATTTTTCCCCTTTTCTTTTCTCCCAATGCGACGGAAAGGAAGGAATTTTTTTTTCATTCCATTCGCGCGTCGTTACCCTGACACGTCAACATCTCGCTTTCTGTCGGGAGGCATGATCGCTCGCGCCTGCACGAGCGTGAGCGATCGTGCCGTCATGGCTCGCTTTGCTCCTCGGGCGTGCAACGGGGAATCTGGGAATCGGCTCAGTCTGGCTCAGCCAACAGGAAAATCATTGGAATTAAAGAATAGTTAATTAATGCTAAAAACTCATGAAAATACAAAATTGGCTTAAATAATTTTCTCATATCAGATTATCTTATACATTAGAGATTGGGATTTCCTTTAGTGTGGCTGGTCACTACCCTGCTGGTTTTGCCCCGCTGCCGAGAACTTTGGAGTAATGCATTCTCTGGTATCGTGCCTCAAGAAGACACAGCCACGCCTCCATCCGTGCATTCAAATATAAATACATATATAATGTAATTTACTCGTATAATTTACATCACAGGAGTTTGGCACCTGAGGGTTTCGTGGGGATCGCCAGCAATTCGCGGTTTAAGAGTTTAGCCTCTCGGTTGGATCGTAAGGAAAAAAAAAAAAAAACAGATACAAGCAACTCCAGTTCACGGATGAATGTATTTAGAACGGCGAGACCCGAACGCCCTCCATTAGACGCTGATGAAAAACCTCACTGCCAGATGGAGGGAAGCTGCCGGACCTCGAAGAAGGAGACGCGCAGCTCCTCCCCCTCCGCCTGGTAGAGAGCCATGCCCCGACTGAGATCGTCGGGGAAGATCCTCGCCGTCATCGCGACCAGGCCGTCGTAGAAGAAGGCTTCCACGCTGGACTCGTCGAGGAGGAGGAGAAGGGAGACCTCCTCGCTCTCCAGGTGGAGGTAGGCGATGTCCGCCGTGTAGGCGCGGGCGAAGTCGGGGCTGAAATCCGAGGTACCGCTGAGGGTTCTATTAAGGAATCCCTGCGACGGCCGGCCATCCTCGTCGAACTCGAGTCCGACCCGGGTGTACTCCGTCCCGTCGGCGGATCTGCGGACCATGATCCCGAACTCCGCTAACCCCGGCGTTCCCGCGAGCCTCATCTCCACCGTCATGGGGAAGGAGCTTCCCAGGACCTCCGCGACCAGGAATTCGTTGATCTGGAATGGCAGCATTTCTGTCTTCGGACTCTGGCCATCTCCGCGTGAGATTAATTCCTGGGCTGCCAAACCGTGCACGACTCAGAATGGTCATTAAATCTTTTAATGAGGCAACAAATATCAAGAAAAGAATTTTGATTTCTTATTCAATAAAAGTGTTTTCCAGTTGTTGAAATTCACGTTTAAGGAGGAAATCAAGTTTTCAATTGCATTCTATCAGGAACACTTTCCCATCGAATAAAATCGAAGCTCTCAAAACAAATCCCCAAAATCCTCACCTCCGCAATCGTCGCATCCCTGAGCGTCCACACCTGCCCCCCCAGAGAGCCAAAATCCCCCAGCACCTGCCTCATCTGCAGCGCCCCCGCCGCCCTCACCAGCTCCACCCTCCTCGGGAAGCTCGCCTCCCCCCTCCACGGACTCGTCGGCACTCCCCCCGCACACGCCCAGTTGTTCATCCACGCCACCAGCACCCTCTCCTCCGCCCCGTTGAAACTGTTCGCCGCGTAGAAGTCCGGCCCGTGATCGATCAGGAACCAGCTGAACTCCGAGTCCTCCACGAACTTTTCCCCGTCGAATTCCCCCACGAAGTACATTCCGAGCCCCGCCAGCGACACCAGCAGCACCCACCGCTCCTCCTCCTGCTCCACCTGCTCCACCCGCAACGGGAATAGGTCCGGGCATTCCCACGCGCCGTGCGTGAGGCCCAGCGGCCCGAAAGTCCCCGTTTCGCTCCAGTCGATCAGGTTCGCCGACCTGTAAAAGACGACCTTGTGCTCCCCGGCCAGCGCCACCGCCATCACCCAACTCTGCGACGGGTCGTGCCAGAAGACTTTCGGGTCCCTGAAGTCCGTGCTCCCGATGTCCAACACGGGGTTCAATTCGTATTGGGTGAAGGTCCGACCTTCGTCCTGGCTGTATGCGATCCGTTGATCTTGAATCAGAGTTTCCGAGTTGAAACCCGTGTAAATGGCGACCATCAGCGGCTCCTCCGACCTGGGACGAGATCGAGGACGAAGTCGATGGGAATGGGGCGACCCATTGCGGCAAGCAGCCGCAATTTCATCATTTTTATGAGCTTCGACTTTTCCCTATCGTGGCGATTATTACAATAATCCAACTCCGTGGCAATTCCTATTCCTCCTAGTTCAAGAAAGGAAAGGCCATGCGACCGATTCAACCTTCAGAGCCAACTCGACCCAACAAACAAAACTCCCCAGACAAAGGCTCTGGATCGCACGATGGGCCTGGAATCAGCATCGCACCCATCGTGGAACCGAGCGCAAGTGATTCCACATCCCTCAACGCCGCGCGTCCAAACCAGAGCGAGCTCTTCGATCGGAACCTTCGCGGGTACGCGGCTGGCCCAGAGGCGGATGTTGCGGGCGTGATTGTTATCGGTTACCGTGCAGGGCTCGTCCCCCCTCGACGCCCTCCCGCCGGGGTCGCATGCTTCGTCAGGCTTAGGTTTATTTCAAAGCCGCAGATCAGTTGCAGTTGAACGATTGTCCGAAGATGGTCCCAGTTCGGTTGCAGTTGCAATCAACTGGAACTACGACCGGACATCGAACGAACTGAGATTTTGAACTCGTTCTCCAGTTCCTGTTTGACTGCAGTTGGACTATGGTCAGACTGCAGTTGCCACTCGACTCGGTTCAACTGAGCACAACTGCAGTCGGTGGTGGTCTGACTTCTCGTCGGCCCATGCTTAACTTTCCTATCCGTTAATGATATAAATGAATTGAAACGGTTCGACGCCAGCCACTGATCGGTGTCATGTTCACGAATCGGTTCGTCGCTGGGCATGTGTTCCGTTGCATATGTCGCCGGTTTAGGACTTAATTGCATGCGGGGTGCTTCGTAGCTTAACTTTCTGGTCCGTTATTGATATACAGTCGAACTCGGTTATAACGTCATCGAAGAGACCATGTAAAAACCGTCGTTATAACCGAGATAGCCCTAATTAGCATTCCGTTTCCCAGTTTCCAAAATTGATGCTACGTAACGTTACAACTCCAGTTTACATCGGTCATACTGCACTGGCTTCAGTTTCTAGATTGACCCACTAATCGCGATGTTCCCACTTCTTTAGGACCTTGAACTTCTTTTTACTTTAGCAAGGCTTCGTCGACGTCATCTCGACAGGTCTAGGAAGTTTCTCGTTTTGTGACACGTTCTCGTAAACACGGATGAAGCATTCACGATTTTCCCAAATTGTGGAAACAGAGGAACAGATGTCCATGTTAGCTTAACTTCGAGCACTTTCTATTCAACTAATCGAGCACACTTTCCCTAGCAGACAGAACGTTAGGACAGGGACTTCCAAAAACAGGCGAAAACGCGCCTACAAAAACAACGGAATCGAGTACTGACTGTGCAAGCCCGCTGGTGTTGCGCACATCGACGACCGCACTGCCCGAGAAGATGGCCACCTCGTCGTCCTCGGGAATGGCCACCGGCAGCTGCTCCCAACGGACCAGGTCCTCGCTCGTCGCATGCCCCCAACTCATATGCCCCCACACCTCCCCTGCACATCCAGAATCGATCACCCTCGACGACATCACCCCATGACGTCACCTCGCTCACCGAACGGATTATGCTGGAAGAAGAGATGAAAGACGCCGTCGTGAAAGAGCAAGCCGTTCGGGTCGTTCATCCAATTCTCCCTCGGGGAGAAATGAAACTGCTCCCGCCAAGGTTCGTCGTAGAGCCTCCCCCTCTCCTCCCCCTCGCCCCCGGCGCATCCCCCCCACCGGAGGACCAAGACGACGAGGGCGATGGATGCTCGGCTGCGTCGGGAGGGCACTCGGCCCGCGTGGAGACGGGACGGGACCGGGTGCATGGCGGACGATTGCGAGTGTCGTCGCTCTCCGCGACGGGATCCGATTTGTCTTATCGGTTTGCAGTTGTGCTCATTCTCAGGGATTTTTTTTCCTTTTCGAGGGAACACGAAACGTGTCCTTCGGCTTCACTTCATCCTATATAAGTCTTCGTTCCCTTA